GGTGATGTCATTTAGATTTTCAACCAATTTTTTTTTACAATTTTCAAATTCATGCCTGGGGTAAATGGGAGCTGATTTTTCTATCACAAGAGGCCAAAAACAAGCTTTATCTAATGGTATGTCAGGGGAATATGGATTTATTTCTGCAAATGATAATCTAACCTATGCTAAATTTGCCTTTCTAAGGAGGAAAGCAAATATCAAATGTCCCTATAAGCATACCTGTTTTGTGTTTATATAATTTCCCCTCAAAAACAATTGAAAAGTAAAAATCTCTTGCTGCGGCCTTCAATTAATCATTTAGATAAATTAACGACGTTTTTCAATCTCATTCCTACGCTGATTCGCTTTATCTTTTTGGATTTGATATAACAGATACCTAAGAACAGAGACATATGTATTTTACAAGAAAAAGAAGGTAAAGATAATCTAGCAACAAAACTGTTTGATGAACGAGTACATAATTCTTTATTTCCAATCGTCATCGCCCCTTATTAATGCAACAAATTGAAAGACCCTTATTACCAGCACCTGGAGTTTAAGTCAATAAACTTTTCAGGTCATGGAGACCATGCGTATGTACATTCTTTAGCATAGTCCTTTTTCCTCTTGTGTAGAAAAATCTCAGATCACAAAGTTTAATATACAAAAGAAATGTCTTCGCAACAGGTTCCCTACCTGAAACACATGAGGAGAGGTGCCGGCGACAACAGAGGTCAGGCGGCAAACGATTTAATTTTATCTTTGCAATTCATATTTTTTGAAATGATAAAAGTCACACTTCTCTATTCCAGTACATGTACCAATACAAGTTTTACCGAGAGTAAAATATGAAATTTAATTAACAATTATTATTTGGATGGCCCACATCATCAATTTTATTATATAGAATAATACTGACAGTTTTATTAGGGGAAAATACAATCAAATTTTAGATCTAAATTTGTAACCTTCCACTGGTAAATGGTGTTGTCTTTTTACTTTCGAAAACATTTCTAAAAAAAACAACAAATGAGTAAACAAAACCCACTAGAAATCAAATATTCTTTTTTTTACCCATTTCTAAGTTTTTTCATCACATTAATGGCTATTTTAATATCATAATCAAGTGTGTTTAAAATTTTAAAAATACATCCTCCTACTGACCCTGTGCTACATTGTATTTGTTTTTTTTTAATTCTAAGCCGGAAAAGAAGGAGCAAACATTATTTTTAAAGATGCTCTTATGAATTGGAAATATTGTGGAACATCAATCGACCCAGTAACTGGCTTCAGGCCTATTCTCAAAGTACAGGTATGGCAATTTAATAAGCTAGACATTGAGAATCAACTTCTAAAATCTTAAAAGAATTTGTAAGGACTAACTAGAAAAAACGCCAACTTCTCTTTATCTGAGCTTGGTAGGCTTATTCTTCATTTTGTATATTATTAAAAGAATTTTGAATTATGTCCACAGATTAAAGTGTCTAAATTTGCCATTTGTTGAGGAGCAGCATGCTCACACAACAAAATTGATTGGGGAAAGAATATATATGTACTATTCTGGTTTAAAAATTGAATTAAAATTGCAAAAAATGTCAAACGTATAAAATAGAATTTTTTCTAAGAAATTGAAAAGTATCAAGACAAAATGAAAAAAAGACTAAATGAAATGTATTACACGAATTAATGGAATTCAGTTATATTGTTACAAGTAGGTAATCTGTAAATACCTATGTTACGATTGAAACAAATTTTGAATTGAAAAATATTTGCTTTCCCACCATTTGAATAGATGAATTGTGTCTTCTCATAGTTTACAAATAAAAAAGTTACAGCAATTGTTATTAAGGCATTCATTAGAGACCATTGTCTTTGTACTAATTAATTGCACAATAAACACTACTGAAGATGAAAAACACACTTTTATTAACAATAAAATGTTTCTAAAGGAAGAGAAAATGTGATGAATATTATGTACAAAAAATATCGTGACGCAGAGGTATGAGCGTCTGCTCTAAAGTAGCAAAGTGAGGAGTTGATCCTTACATCGGGGATTCGAATCCCACTGTCGGACGTGGAGATCGGTCCTTCGGATGATACATGTATCGTATACACCGAAATCCCGGGTCGCAGTAGGTGCTGGTACGAAAAAAATACCTGCTTGTTCAATGATATCGCCCTTAGTGACGAGCAGAGAACAGAATTTGCAACTCTCCACCGGCAGGTGGTGGCGTCTCCATCTGAGTGAAAAATTCTAGAGACGGACATTAAGGTAGGACAAAACACCCATGGATTCTATTTTAACCAATTTCTTAAAACGTACCGGAGAAAAGGAGAATTATATTACTATTTTGACAACAATGAATGATCCTTGTAAGAAAAATAATAAGTTTTGGCATGTTTGTGTAATATTTTGTGAAAAAATCGGAGAATCATATATATTGGTCAGTTGGGGGTTTACATTTTGGTCTGTGTTTATGCTATCTAAGTGCAATAAACAAGCATGTATTAGTCTATTACAAAATGCAGTGTAACTTTTGTTCCATAAATAGTAGAGGGCTGATATTTGGACACGTATATACGGAGTATCCATTCTTTATGTACTTTAAAGGCCAAGGTCATATCAAGAGGTCAAAGGTCAAATATTGTGACGTCATCTACTGAATCTTTTAGTTTTTTTGCCATTGAAATTTTTTTAATCGCCAAAATATCTGAAACCACCGGTTGTGAATGTCTGATTTCACAATCTTCTTACAGGGATCTGATAGGCTATATTTCAGACTATGTGGGCAAAAATTGTGTGGTTGAATTTCTTTCATATCATGTATAAAGAGAGATTTTGTATCTTAGAACAAAATAGCAAAGTTTCAGAAAAATTGAATTTAAGGAAAATTTTGGCCTATCTATTGTGTCCTACCTTAAACAGTAAACAAATAATCAATCAATCAATCAAAAATCAAATCAGTTGCATTTGTTATGGGTACTTACAATAATTACATGTATTAAAATGTTGAAAAGCTTCCTGCTGCTGTTTTTAACCAGGCAAGCAATGAACAATCAAATACATATGTAATGGAGAGAAATTCATATTACAATAATTTGAACAATTGTATAAAAGACTATGTATTTCAATGATTTTTAATTATACTTACATACATTTTATACCGGTATTTATCAACTCTTATTTACAAGAAGGTATACTGTGCATTTAATTTAGATAGAATAACTATGTTTTTGCTTAATTGTAATTGGATCGAACCTGCAAGTCATTTATGATGCCTGCAAGGATCTTGATTTGGAAATTTGAGATATATGTCATTGTTATTTCTCCAAAATACGTTAGAAAGTTGGTTGTTGTCTGTAATACAAAAATTTTGCTCAATTTAATGAAGCTTGCAGACAATTGGGCCCTTATTGGAGAAACGGGAGTGTCTGGGGAACAGTTGTAAAGGTCTAAGTTACAGTAACAAATAGTTTATCTAAGTATTTATAATTAATCATTGTTTCCTAACTATTTCAGATATATAAGATATAAGGACATTAGGCTGGTGAAATCATATGATCCACATACATAAAACATTTCATGCTATAAAAATTTTGTTAAATACAAATGAAGACGTACCTGGGCACCATCTATCGAGTGGCTTTTCCTCTGATCGTTGATATCCAACATCGTTATATTGAAAAATACCTAAAATCACGACATTGAAAAAAATTACATTAAGTAAAAAATTTGTTCTTAAAAATATGAATAAAGTAAGATTTTAAAAGTCGACCTGTTTAGAAATAGTAACGAGAAAAATGTCAAACTTCATAAATTAAAGAAATCAGCAAAGTTTACACAGCTAATTGTGCCACGTACGTTTCACGTATGTTAAACGTATGTGACACATGTGACTTCACGTACGTTTTCCATGAAAAAAATACCACGTACGTTATACGTAATTGTTTTCACACGTGTGAATATCATGCGTTTCACGCATGTTAAACGTACGTATTGCCCACCATACGTTACACGTATATTGCACACGTACGTTACTCATACGTTTCACATATGAATAACGTACGTGCAACGTGTGTGTAACATATGTTTCTCATAACATATTTAATGGGTTTATTATTTGCATGCACTGCTCATATTGTAAATATGTATAAATACCGTACAAAAATGTGTCAAACCATGGTTAAACACGTTTTGAACATTTTTTCACATATTGTAAATGTTGGTGAAACAAAAATTACTGGTACGTGCAATTTAAATATTCAATTCATGCATTTGACATAATTTCTCTCAAAGGCTTATTTTCTTTTCATCTGTTGAATGATCCACTTTCTGGTTATCCTTCACTTTAAATTTCCTGATCCTATTTGCTCTTGAAGCAATCACAACAAAAGACATATTTAGATTTAAGCCAAATTTAATGTTGAGTATGTTAACATCAATTCATTCTTCTCCAGTTCTCTTTTATCTGTAAAGAAAAAGAAAATATTAAATGCATGGAATAAGGGAAAACCCATTTTTTCCCCTGAACATTATTATTATCCACATATTAATCTTGGTTGATTCTCTGTAGAACTTAAATATAAATACTAAATTATTAATTTTTTAGTATTCATAACAATGATCTTTTAAACTATTTTTTTCACTATATCCTCAAATATCTACGTTGTAATTTTCTTATCTAAAATTCATTACATAGCATTGATTTGTGGGTGAACTCGGAAAAAACTGTACATACTGATACCCCATATGCCAGCTTATGGTTCAAGTTTCCCAAGTGCAAGTCAAACTCCAAAGTCAAGGTCAAAGGTCAAAATTGTTGACATTCAAGGACGGACTTGTCACAAAGAGTAAATATGTGAAATATGAATAAAGCCCTACTACTATCAGCTCAAAAGTTATGATCAAAGTTAGTTTTTTAACAGTGGGTTAAACTAGAAGTACAAGGTCAAATATTTTAATTTATACCCATTGAAAGGTTTTGTCACAATAAATATACAAGTGAAGTATGAAAGCCCTTGCACCAACTGTTAAAAAGTTAGGCCGAGATTCAAGTTATGAAACTTTCTTAAAAATGAATCATACTCCAAGTTCAATTCAAAAGATTAATTTGGTGTACCAATACAAAAGTATTGTCACTATGAATACCCAGGTCTATGAAATATGAAAGCCATACTTTCACCCACTAAAATAATATGTCCAATGTGAAAAGATTTTGCAGACAGACAGACAGGGTAAAAGCTATATAGATGTACCCCAGAATCTTTGATTATAGGGGTACAAAACTTATTCCTCATTGTCATGAACTTAGTCTTTTTGCTTTCAACTTAGGAGCATTATATAGATTTTCAATGAATCAATGCATTTTCAGTTTATGATTAATTAATAAAGCTGTGCCTTTACATCTGATCCACCTACCCTGGGGCTATATGAATTTCATAATTTCATTAGGACTCAATGCTGATTAAAATCTTGCTATTAGTTTGCTTGATGTCCAATTAAAAAAATACAGTTTTGAATAATTTTGATGGGTTACCCCCCCCCCTTTAGTTTGGGTGGTGGTGGAGGGAGGAGGCAGTAAATGCTCAAATTTTACCAGACAGAGCACAGTGTATGACGATGGACAACAAGAAACCCAAGGGCCTTGAATCGCTCTTCTAATAAATTGTACAATCTATCACTAGTATTTGAAGCCTCTATGTTTATAAGACCCAAAATACATCAATCAAGAAAGTTCGATGATTCGTAGCCAGTTAGGACTGAAGATATTTCAATAGAGCTATAAAATACCATAAGTAGATCATGGTGACCTACTTTTTGGTCGACATTTTCCAAAGATGCCTCAACTGACAAAGTTTAACAATTCTAGGCCAATATAGACTTCTTTTGGTTTTATCCTCCTGATTATCTCCCCTTGTATAAGGTCCTAACCCTAATTTTAGTATAAATGGTAGCCCTTGGGCCAAGGATGCCCTGTGAAAATTTGACAATGATTGTCCAAGGGGATCTTGAGTTATGACCCACATTCTAACAAGAGGCCCAGGGGCCACATCGCTCACCTGAGCAATTTGCTACGAAAAATCACACATCAGATCAGAACTGAAAGTTTGCTGGGGGGGGGGGGGGCTTGAAATTTAACCCCCCAGGGGGTCATGATTTGAACAAACTTGAATCTACACTACCTGAGGATGATTCCCTATAAATGTCACTAAGCATGGCTTTAAAGTACTTGAAAACAAGATTTTAAAAGGTTTCCCTAGATATTCCTATGTAAAACTTTTATTGGCCATTTTGGTCTCACCCTACCCCCGGGGGTTATGAATTGAACAAACTTGAATCTACACTACCTGAGGATGATTCCATATGAGTTTCATCTTTCCTGGTCCAGTGGTTCTTGAGAAGAAAATATCTAAAGATTTTTCCTGTATATTCATAAGTAAAACTTTATTTGGCCATTTTGGCCCCACCCTACCCCTGGGGGGTCATGATTTGAACAAACTTGAATCTACACTACCTGAGGATGATTCCACATGAGTTTCATCTTTCCTGGCCTAGTGGTTCTTGAGAAGAAGATTTTTTAAAAATGCCATTAATTTTTTTCTAATTCATAATTATCTCCCCTTGGAAAAGGGTGCAGCCCTTCATTTGAACAAACTTGAATCCCCTTTACCCAAGGATACTTTGTAGCAAGTTTGGTTGAAATTGGCCCAGTGGTTCTTGAGAAGATGAAAATGTGAAAAGTTTACAACAACGACAACGCCAACGACAACAACGACGCCAACGACAACAACGGACAAATTTTGATCAGAAAAGCTCACTTGAGCCTTTGGCTTAGGTGAGCTAAAAAGTTTATGCACACCGCACAAATGGCCGTAGCATTAGCTCTTTGAGCCTTTGGCACAGAAGAGCTAAAAACAGTATACATGTACACCTATATACTGGCTATGAGGACAATAGCTAGTTTATCATCCCCCAAGACAACAACTATTCCCCAAGATGCAGACGAGGGAAATAGTTTGCTGTCGAGGGAGATGATAAACAAGCTATTTTCCGAATAGTAAGTAAATAGGTGTTTTATTATGGCACCTGATCCCACCTCTGATGTTTCGGGGGTCCGTGTTTGCTCTGCTCTTATTTTGTATAGTTTTATGGACTTTGAGATTGAATACTGTTCGTTATCTCCATATCCTTCTATTATATACTGAAGCTGACTTAATTATATGTAAGGTCCGATCTGGATAAAACCAGAAGAGTTACGAAATGAAAAATTGAACTTACCTTCTGCATTAATCTTTAGCTTGGCATGGACTCATCTGTTTTTGTTTGTGTTCCAAGTGTATACTTTTTGTCCTTGAGGTAAAAAAAAAAAACATATGTAAAAAAAAAAATAGACGACTTTCACATTAAATTTTTCAAAAGTTATTCCCCTTTGCAGGGTCAATCCAGCATAAGGCCCTGTTTTCCCTCTGTAACCTTACCAAATTTATTGGTCAGTATCTTAAAAATAAAATCTGTAATGAATATCGTTCATTAAGATTTTCATGTTGCCCAAAACTTCGGCAATACAGGTACAGATCTAAATTGTCCAATAACGTTTGAAGATTGAAAATTATAACAGGTAACTTACAAAGGACAAAGTGGGAAAAATAAGAGTTATGCCGACAAGGGAGATAACTCTTAGTAGTGTGAAATTTGTCAAACTCGATTGCATTTCAAATTTTACATGAAAAGCTTCAAGTTACATGTAGTATTTGCAAGTCTAAAAGCAGTATGATAAGAAAATCTTATTCCTTTTTAAAAGTATTACCATATTCAAGATTATACTGGTTAAACTTTAATAATCTGTTTTGGAGTCCATTCTAGGCATATAGGTGTTTACAAAGATGAGCTTCAGTCACCATCCTGGAATGCATATCTAAAATCACATAAAAGTTCTCAATCTCAAACACAATTTATATTCATAAGGATTAAAAGGGCAGATATGTAAAAACAAAACTTATACACCATTATTGCACTCAAAGATAATAATTTCCTTTACCATCTAATGTGATGTTTTAAATACTGTAAAAAGAAATAATTCAGTGAGTGGAACTTTACATCAAATTGTTGTTGTTTCTTTTTTTTGCATCTTATTTGTTAGGTTAAAAACATTTTAAATAAATACTTAATTGTTATAACAGTATTTTTAAACTTCACCTGCATTTTGATATAACGTGCCCGTGTTGATGGATACACCTGGGTGCTGACCAAGACAGCTCACTGGCTCAACATGGTCAATATTTTCTGTTTTTGGTAACCCACGTCTCCATTATGTAATACACTGAAAAAAAAAACACCCCCCTTAGTTTACATGCAACACACAGTCATAAAGTAATTATTATTATTATTATGTTTATTCAGGCAAAGAGTCAAATTCATTACAAATCATAACACAAATTACATTCCAAAATTAATTAGGGATCAGTGGCAGATTTAAGGGGGGGCGCACCCGGCGCGCGCCCCCCCTAAAATTGTCAAAGTTAGCGTAAATCAAATATGTCTACTTGGTAGACCTCATTTTTACCCTACAAAATCTCTAGAATCCAGGAGCTTCGGGGGGCTTCGCCCCCCTGGGCCCCCACCAGGGCTTTGCCCTGGACCCACTGGGGGCCGTAAGTAGGCTCCCAAACCCCTTGCCTAATTTTGGCGCCCCCTCTAACTCCAAATCCTGGATCCGCGCCTGGGGATCGCTTAAAAGTTCTAGCACATAGGCCTACATGTAGCTATCACATTAAAACAATATCACTCCAGGTATTATCACAGTTATCATTATCACAGGATTATACAGATCTCAGAACCAGATCTTATCACATACAACACAAATAAACATATTTTTAATCAATCTTTGCCTAGGATAACCCATGAAAGCAATATATAAAACATGCTTATTTCCAATGGGGTCCTAAGATGGTACAAGTTGATTATAATTTAATTGACTAAGACAGCATAGACAAAAATAAAAAATAAAATTGAGGATTACATAGACAAAAATAAAAAATAAAATTGAGGATTACATAATTAAATAATTGTTGATTTTATGCATTCCTCACCTTTAGCTAGGCCCTAGAACTTGCAGACGTCAGACTTCTCTCTTTCCAGTGACGTCACTGGTAACGTACATGTAATACATAAATGGAGGCTGGAAAATTCCGGAAGGTATATTTTATAAGTTTTATACGGACGGTACCCACTGTATATTTGATAATTATCTAGATGAATCATTTACTCCCTTTTGAGATTTGTTGTGAAATTATCGTGAATTTCTTTCTTTTTTTAAAAATATATTTCTGCCCTTGAATTCGGATTGATTATATCTACCGATGACCAAGTTCAATTTTATGTGCCTCTACCGATATCCGATACATATGACGAGATTGGAGATAGTCTCGTTCAACCAGACCCTCGGCTGTCTCCGTAAATCTCCGACCACCCAGAGGGTCTGGTAAAGATACGTGATATCGATTGTAACGCCAAAGCGAGGCTTACCAAAATTCTGGTAAAGTTTTTGATTGGCTGAAAAGAACACACCTACAAGATTTAAACAAATACATGATAAATCAGCAGAAAAATAACTTAAAGATGTAAAAGTTATATGTCTAAAAGTTAAAAGCGTTAGAGAGGAATTGTTTAAGGCAATGCCCACCAGTTATAGGTAAGTGTGTTTTATAATGTCTTGCAAATATTCTGTACGAAAGCAAAAGTGAAAGTAGTGTAGCGTTACCCGCGTAATACACATTCTTTCGATTGATATTGTAATTTCTCGTTTGGTATCCATAATTAAAGACCAGTTTATTAATATAAAGTAACAATCAAGCAGAAGAAACGTATATAACGTTTGCTTACAAAAAGGATTTTAAAAATGAAAACAAGTGAGCGCCCTCTGACGGTTACAAACGCTTACGTGATTCTTTACCAGACTCTCTGCTGGTCGGAGTTCACGGAGACAGCCGAGCGTCTGGTTGAACGAGACTAGATTGGAGAACTTTTTATGTAAACTTTGTTAACTGTTTTTAGAGTAAATTTTAAACCAATGCGAACTGATAACATTATGCCAGACATGAAAGTGGACGTAAGGTAAACAATGTGAAATAAATTGAAACATTAAATACGCACACGACAAGTCAACAACGCACACACATGTATGCTTCAGTTGTGATTGGGTTTAACCAAATATCATAATAATGTTTATGTCAAAAAAGATATTTTAGATTTTAAAATATAATTATTAAAATACATGCAACTTCTGATGTAAGGACCCGTTAGTTATACATGTTATAAGAAGGATTTTATAGGTGGTCATATCACTATGATTGCTCTTCTTCCTGAATAACAGGTTAAGCCCTAAGTGCCTATTGATTGTTATGTTAAATAATATCTTGATTAGTTCTCCAAAACTTAAACTATTAAGGAAAAATAGTTGTGGAAGTCAGCCATACTTTTATACAAAAAGTTCCTGTATTTTAAGTGAAATTATGTAGTCCCTAGCAATAATAAATGTTTAACGCATTGGGTTTTTTTTCTCTTTATAGCAAAAACTAAATGATAATTTGATTTAAAAATTAAATTTGCAATAAAATAAAAAGGATTAGATTTATAGTCAACCTACATTTAACATACATGTATGTAATAATATGAATTTACAAAATATACAATCTTCTCATTCTCAAACATAGGCTTTCACACACATGTAAACAACCTTTTTAAATGTATATGTAACATGTGCCTGATAATACACATACTATATTCATCAACATATGTAATGAGAGCTTTAGAATTAATACAAGTAAACCATAATTTATTTATGTACATTAGTATATTTAATGTGTGGTTTATAATGCACATAAACTATATATATACATGACATTTGTGCTTTATAAAACACATGTAAACCATGAGTTCATTAACGTACGTGTAACATGTGGTTGACTATACACATGTAAACCATATGTTAATTAACGTACGTGTAACATGTGGTTGACAATATACATGTAAACCGTACGTTTATTAACGTACGTGTAACGTATGGTTGCACATAACATATGTTACACGTACGTTTCACGTACGTAACACATACGTGTATTCCAAACATACGTTTAACGTACGTTATGTGAACCGTATGTAGTCACACATATGTTATACGTACGTTGTACCACATACGTGAAACGTATGTTTGTAATACACGTATGTGATACGCACATTTCACATATACGTGATACATGTGTTATGTGCAACCATATGTAACACGTACGTGGCACAATTAGCTGTGTAATGATTGATTATGAAGTTCGAATATGTACTCGGATAATCATTTCCGTCAAACCAACAATATGTCCATTGAGAAAAAATAGCACATTTGTCACAAATGGTGATTTATTTCGATTTGAATTATGCAGGTTCACTCCGTGACATTAAAAGTGTAATTTAAACACTTTAGTAGATTTAGTGCCATCGTGCTTACTTTTGTATTTCAGTATTGGCAAAGGGCTTCTCCTGGAACAAGATTCAGGCCGAGGGTTCTCATACATGTACAGTATACATATTTCATCTTCGTATGTAAATGTATAACATTCTGCTTTCTTTAAACAATTTGCTTCGCAAAGTGTTAAACCTATCGATTTATTATACTTTTGTATGAAGCAAAATTGTTTCAGAGTTTGATTTTTCAAGGTTGATAATGATGACTCAGTCATACATTCTCCAAGATCTAAAATAAAATATACAGCATAGATAAATAAATAAATATAGATTTATATTAAAAATAAACAAAACAAAGAAATAAAACTAAATAAATAGGTGTATATTATGCATGTTTTCCAAGAATCCCAAATACTGAATATCAAAATTGGCGCTGTGTTGCAAGGGATGATATAAGAAAGTGTGATAGACAAAAATTTGACATATCATATTCTTAAAATTGCCTACAGGAATATGATTTATCTTCTGGTTTTAACAGATCATAATACTTCTATGTAAATTTATTTTATAGCTGAAAAATTATGATAAAGTTATATTGTACATGTAGTTCAAAATTTGAACATTAAGTAGAGAACATGAGCTTTGTAACCCCCCTCTCTCTCTCTTCAGGAATTTCTTGTATTTCCTGAATTTTAGGAAATACATGAAATTCCTATTCTGCTTAGAAAGTATTATATTTACTTTTTTTAGTTAGGAAATATGGGTAATCACTGATTTTTCCATTAATTTTTACATGTATTTACTGACTAGATTATGGTGAAATAAATTAAAATATGAATCATAAAATATAATCTGATGAACACTGTAGAATTGCATAGAAAAAAATCTATAAAATTCTTCTCAAGAACAGAAAAGCCAAGATTGGGTGTCCATTCTGTAGAAAGAACTAATCGGGGGCCGTAGGCTGTTTGAACACAGAAGACTTCATCAATTCTTTCAGAGAAAGTTTTAACCCCTCATTTGATGATAGATTGTCAAGTTTGCTTTCTACTACCACCTCCTTTATAAAGCCAAGGAAGGTTTTCAAAAGAATTGTTGTTTTTCTTTTGGAGTAGAAAGTGGCAGTCGTTTTAAAGGATACCACCTAGGTTCTTAAAGACTGCATGAAAAGTGGGAAGCAGTACAATGTTGTTATGTTTTTCTAATTGTAGGGCGTTTTGTCTGTCATGTCCTGCCATCGCATCAATAGCAGTTTTTATGATCTGGATTTTAGCCTCCTTTGCACGAATTTGACTTTACGAGATTTTCCTCTCTCTGATATTTTAGCCCCTTTGTTCGATAGAATTATACATTTAATAAAAAAGAAAACGAAATTTACCTTCATCATTTTTTTCGCAAATAAATATTTTTGCTGTAGAACAGTTTCCAGTAACAAGGGTCTCATTGAGTCGATTGTAGTAAAGACAAAACATATTGGTCGGACTTACTCCAGTTATCTTTACAGGAATTTCGGAATCAAGTTGGTCACAATTTTCTAACATACATTCGTTGTTAGAAGACCTCAAAAAAGCTCCAATCCACATTTCTGCTGAGGCTGAGATTCTTACAACAAAAGATTTGAAAACTGGTCTATTTAAGTTGACGTCATTTTATGAAAGTCTTGGATAGCACATTTGAACTTAGAATTAATTATATTTTTCTAAAATTATCTTTAATGCTTATCGACGATCAAAGGTACCTCAAGCCGGAATGTTTTTCAAGCAAATTATCAACCTCTTCCAGAACCAGGTCTAAAAAGTACATCTTACTCAGTGATGTAATTTGTGCTAGTGTCCTGTTTCTTGAAGCACAAACATTATATGCCGTGTGCCATGACGCTTCTGGTAGATGGACAGTGTATCTACATTTTGGATCCATGTCTGCAAATGAAACAATGGTATGGAATCAACGAACAGTATTCAATTCCAACAGTTAAAGTCAAGAGGAGAGCAAACACGGACATCAAGAAAGTCGGAGGTATGATCAGGTCATTCTTGTTTCATCACATCCCTTATCAGATAGCTTGGTTGTCCATACATAGAGCAAGCTCTTGCGCATCAAATCAACTGGGAAGTTAAACCCCATATGCAGGTGATTCTGATGTGTTCAATTTGGTACATAAGTATTAAGTAAGAGAAGTTTATACTCCAAATTGTGAGGTCTTGTATTTACATATATCAAAGCTTTGTTGCTAGGTGAGCATTCACATCTTTATTTATTTTCAAAAATAAATCAGAAGTGTCAGACTCTGGCAAACTCACTGGAGATATGTTTAGTCAAAATACGAATCTAAGTAATTATTATTAATCCATAAATATACTGAAAGGAAAAAGAAACGCAGGGTAAACTTTTGAGGTGAATTAAATTTATTTTTCTTTTAATTTTTTTCAGCATTCCTACCTAACTTTCAAAATCATCTTTCAAAACGATATAACCAAAATCTCATCTGATTTTGTCTAATGATTCATGAGTTATTGAAGCTCATATGACGATACCCCCCAGAAGTGAAAATTGAAAACTCTCATTATCTTCAATATCTCTCCCGCGCATCTGTCATGAGCCTTATTTCTCCTTTGCATGGAATTCATCAGAGTGTTTATCTTTCAAACCCTGGCTATATTGGGCATGTGTAACCACGCCAAAAAATTAGTCATACCATGCGCGCATGCGCCAGTGAGAGGAACACAACAGTAAGTTGACCGGCTCAAAAAACCAAATTGCGGAACTGTTTTCTTTCATTTTACGTGTGAATGTAAGGATTATAACAGTCTACTGTATAAAAGGCGGTTTTTGTGGTAGTAAGGTGGCAATTTAAGAGATGGCAGGACGAATAACCCGCTCGCAACATGACTCCTTTTCGCGTTAACGTCATCGTCACGGTTGATTGAAAACCATTCCTGGCCCTCTCTGACAACGGGTAACAAGTTTTATGGGGGAAAATTTACAAGAAACTGCTTAGTTACACGTTGTTGCCTTTTTCATTAATAAGGCAATTCGAAAACCAGACCCCATGGAACTTCCGTAAACTGTACCAAGATTGCAAGAAATTCATATCGTCTCTAAATATTGAAAAACAATGTGTATACTTCAGGTGCATCAAATAGTGCAACAAGATTTGTTGGCTAACTCGTCGTCATAAAATTGCAGGTGTTAAGGGCTTTTTAGCGTTTTTTCTACTTGACGTCATACATTTTACGGTTGAGTAATTCTGAACACTGATTTTGGTGCATAATAACTTAATTTCTCATCTGACCAATTTTCTTAATTTTCGGTCATGCGGTCAAACTTTTTTCGAATATTATGCTACCCTGCATTTCTTTTTCCTTTCAGTATATATGTTGTCAATAAATATATATCTATATAAAATGCATTATCTATAGAAGTTTTTGGGATCGATCCCTGTTTGATATCTTCTTCTTTTACTTTTTAAACTGTAGAATTATGATGATATGAAATGTAATTAGATTCGTATTTTTCCCCATAAAAACTATTGTTTACCTCTTCATACATGAAGTACATGCCCCTATTCTCAACTTTCAATAAGCACGATTATTATTAAGAAATTTCTATTCTAATTACAAAATCCGTCATCTTACCAACACGCATGCGTCTGTAAGACTAAAGTTACTTACCTTGTAAAGAACATAATATGTATGGACCAAATGTAATTGACATGATCCATGCCGTAAGCAGAAACTTCATCATCTGAAATGTGTTGAAAAATTTGTCATTTGTAAATATGCATCTTGGTTTACAATTTTACACTTTCCTTACGGATATTTTGTTGTTTTTATAAATTGTATGTTGTACAAGCAGATTCATGCATGTTTATTCTTAATTTTCAACAATACACAAATGAATGAATGAAGATTATAGCATTGTGAGTAAAGTTTTGTTTATTATCAGGCTATTCGGAAATATAATGTCACTAAATATACCTACAGAAATACTCTATAATGTGGTGTAACATCATTAATGACAAATATATGACAATTTTTACCAGAGCACTTTAAATTAGACATTGTCAAAAATCTTGACATAGGGCGATAATGTGGAGCAACAAATTATCAAGCAACGCTATGTTGAGCGGTATATGACTCCTCTATATTGAGAAAAAGAGACGTTAACGATGATAATTAAAACTTAAACATAAGTATAGGAAACAGGGTTACTTTAGTATCTCTAATTGAAGGGGTTTAAGGTTGACTTGCCTGGTTATCCGATAGAAGAGAATAGTCCACTAAGATAAAGAATTACTGAAAAGACAGGAGGAGGACCTTATAGGCTTATGTGAAGACCGCTGTTAAATTATTTGATCAGTATAATAAGGTTCATGATCGGGATTGTGAAATTGTCTATTAAAAATATTAACTCCAAAATCTTATAGTAAAGCTAGTATTTGAGATGTATAATTTCGTAATCAAAGGAAAATTAAATACGGTGTCGACTTTATGCTAAAATGAATTTTATTAGAGGCCCATTTTCCACAACAAATTCACTAACACTTCCAGCTACGTTTTGACGTCGTCAGTGTTGCGCCGACAGCTGATTTGCTAGATTCATTAATGTGAAAGGAAAATGTTAGTGGCAGAGATATTTCATTTAAATTCTAGGCATTATTAGACAAAAAAATGTTGATCATGATGTATGCCACTTTTTAAGTTTATAGTCTTAGTGAATCAAAAGATATTGAAAATGTTCGCGTTTTTCTGGGACAACTATCGTATAAGGAATCACTGCGTGTTAGTTCGGTATGCCAGGAAAATAAATATCAGTTCAAAATTAACTTTGGACAATGTATGCATCATAGTTATGCAAATTAGGCAGCCCTACGTCTCCAATCGTCATTGCAAAAATTAACATCTTAACATTCTTAACATTCAAAACAAAAGTTCGATTATCTCTCATGAATAGCTCTGACCCTTCCTATAAATTTTTTTTGGAAGAGGAAAAGTTTTGGAAGAATGCCAGGCATCATAAAAAAGCAAAACTGTCCTTCAATAATTGGAACTTTTTAGTATACAAAAACAAGAAATAAGAGTTCAAAACTACGTTGCTTGTGTCCTTAAAAATAAAACTAAATGGTGAGAAATATTTTAAAGCATACATACCTTTTGCGTTTTAATCGTATTTTACAGGTGAACCATTTGGAACGAAATTAAGCAATGAGTCTTTATATCTGCATAATATCAGTGTTTTAATTTCTTTAAAATCTATATTAATTAACCATTCTATATAATGGAAAAAGTAACC